GTAATCCTATTGTATATTTCATGAAATATGTAGAATATAATATTTACCTCTAACGAACCTTTATCATCGAATGGTTGAATGGTAAAATTGCCAGGATGTGCTGCCATTGTTACATGAACATCAAAATAATTACCAATACCAGAGATGTTTGGAGGTTTTAAAGACTTTACGGCATCGTCATCTTCTTTTCCTGCGAGTTTAGAATTCATACGTTCTATACGCTTTCTCGGTTTTACATTGTTATTTCCATCTCCTTGTGATCTGAAAATGTGATAAAAATATTAATCATTTATTATTTTAACACTTTCATTAATATTTACAAATACGTTCGTATACTGTACTTTATAAGTTGTTCTTCAAAGGCTAAAGTGGTATTGATAGAAACGAGCATATTGCTTGGTTGAATTCGCTTAAATAATTCCACAATTGGTATACCATTCTCTGATGATACAACTTTTACAAGAAGTGGTTCACCTTTTGGAGCAAGTTCCTTAAGTTTTGCAACCATCTTTTCATTAAACATTGACTTATCAATGTTATGAAGATACACCTTCAATGCCTATTATATAAATACATCATTAAAATTAATTGTAGTATACATTAACACGTAGTATAATTAACACGTTCGCTATTTCTGCCGCAGCATATACAGAATGTGTTACTCCGTGTGCCATCGTCGATAATGTTGACAGTGTACCGATCGATCACAGCCACGACATCAAAAGTCAATACCGTCCCTGTGTGATCGACGATAACCACCACAAAATCCTCATAAAAATCACGTGTTTGGTTGAGAGTTACGAATTGTATTTTCTAGTGGCAGCGAACGTGCTAAAGGAGTCTCTTCAAAAACTATACGAAATTACCCACCTTCGAATTTTTTCAAACTTTGCATATTTGTAGATTCGTAAGAGGGTTATTAATTTCCGATTTATAGTCACCAATATATTTCGCGAAATGCGCACTTTGATCCTCTCCCCATCCTGTCCATGGAGCCTGATAAAGACTACTTACACCGGAAATCAATGGCCCTTTTACAGACCTTCAAATATGCAAAGTTTGAAAGAGCTCGAAGGTGGGTAATTTCATGTAGTTTTTGAATAAACTTCTTTATACCTGAATATTCAAGTTGCAACTTTACCTGAGCAGGATATTTTGGTAAAACATCAGATAATATTTCCAGAGCAAGAAGATTGCTTTTTGTTGTAGTGACAGTCTTACCAAAATCAATTAAAAATACTTTTAATTGTTTGTAAAAACAATCACCTACAATTTTGCCCCTGTACCAATTATTATTTACTGATACAAAATATATTTTTCCTGGATCAACTGTAGTTACAATGCACTTCTCCAGATCTTCTGTGTTCAATCCAGTACATATTAAACGATTTAATAAACTAACCAAAAGTTTCATGCTTTCAGACTGCACTTGTACATAAACATCACCATTCTCTTCTGCATGAGAAACAAACACCTCGGATACTTGTCCTTCCTATAAACAATACAAAAATATTACGTTATATTGAACGCCTTAACCTCTTAAGGGGAAATTCCCATGTAACAACAGTAAAATAGAACGATTCTTTTTTTTTTTTAGAAAACTATTAACAATACAAGATTATTATTTTGCAGGTACATAGATACATTCATAAACTACATAAGCAATTTTTTTTGTTTACTTTTTTTATTGTTATATCAAATAGCATGCAATTGTTTTTATCCTCTTCGACGATGAAACCATTGTTGGCGGTCAATGTAGCACTTGTTACAATCATCGGAATTTAAAAATTAAAAAAGTTTCTTAAAGTTAAATAGTTTATGCCGAGACTATACCTATTTCAAACCAAAATTATAAAAAATTAGACAAGTTGTACTAAAATTGAATTCGAATATTACAAGTAAAAAATAAAATAAAGATCAGAGGAATAGTCTCTAGAGGAATGTATAACAAATAAAACAAGCTTTGTTTAAAGTTGATTAGTCAATTAATTATTGAGTTATCGTGCACGCCCATTTACAAAACATGGTTTCGAGAAAAACGCGTTTAAAGTTTTCTCCGGTATACATACATGAGTGACACGCTATGTTCCAACGGGTTATAGCTGTCACAAGCGTGTGCGTTAAGTAGTTAAGAAGTTTATTTTTTTAAACTATACCTTACTTCATTGTACTTTTATCAATAAAACAAACAACAACTTACAACATCTAATTTCGGATTAACCTCTGTGTTCTGTAGGATTTGTTCCAACAGTTCTGAATTTAAATTAATGTCATCTGGTCCATGTGTATCATAAAACATAACTGTTGCAGATGGTCCATTTTGATCTTTATTGCGAGTTATTACTTCCACATAGAATGCACGATCATGCAAAAGCTTTTCAATTTGGCTCACAATGCTATCATAGTCACTAAAGTCTTCCAAACCAGAAAGACACAGTCTTAATGCCTAATGTATGATTTAATAAAATTTTTAAGAAATAAAATGCATAATACAATAAAATTTGTATTCCAATAAAAATAACATAATTATACCTGAGCAGGAAGCACGCAAAACTTTTTATCCAGCATTTGTAATCTACTGTGATGGAAAATATCTTCATCGCCATGATCAATGAACGAAACTGTAACCATTCCACTTGTTGCATTATAATCTATACAGCGAACTCTGTGCCATAATTCATCTTCAAAAACTACATAATAATTTCCAGTTTCAATTGTTAATGGTTTAGCAGATTGTTGAAGTTTATTGTAATATTGAGTCATTTCAGTAGTCATACTATCAAATTGTTCCTGCATATAAATAAAACCGTATAAATAGGTATAAAAAATAACTGTAAAAATAAAAATTACGTATATATAAAAAGATCTTTTCAACTTACACTATATGCATCCCCCACAATTCTAACCCATATTTCAATAGTACTTATAACACAAGTAACAGACACAATCCAATAACTTTCTTCTGGTAATTGTAATTGTCCAGGCGCGGCAGGTCCAATTGGATTTAGTTGTACTTTATCTGTTTTTGACAAAGTTATATTTCGTATCTGAAAGAAAATATATATTAAATAATGATTTTATCGTCTCCATAAATATATAGTTTCCAGATTGCTAAATATATTAAAAATAAATTTACCTTTCCAGTAGACGAAACAAACCGACGCAAAATTACTGAATTATCGACACCTTTTTCTAAAATTATTACTGGGCTCTCTTCAATAGCTTTTTCCCAATTTCCAGGTAGAATTTCTTTATACTGTTGTTTATAATATATGGGCACTTGATGCATGAAAATACCATTCGGATGAGCGTCTATTATGGACAAAACACGTTCTTTTATTGTACCCTTATCTCGAGTTTCATTTAAACAGAAAGATGATCCATATTTTTCAGTAAGATCAAGCAAAGCAAATTTTGCTGCAAGTTTTTGTGCTTCATTCTCAGAACGTGCTTCTTCTGGATAACTCGAATAACCATGTGGACCAATCTAAAAATACATTTTTATTATTTCATATCTATTGAAAAATGTTTTCGATGAATTAAATTACTTCCGTTGCTATTTTGGAAGTCATCCCTTGAGTTCGGTTATTTTTGCTTGCCGAAATTCTAATAAGCTAAAATGTTCATTTTCAAATTTTTTATTTAGTACCCTACCATTCGTTATCATGGAATCAGAAATTAATTCTAAATTATTTTCTTATACCACTTTAAACATCTTCGGAAGTGTGAATAATGTGCTGACGGTCCAAAATACCGATTACTTAGTTCATATTTAAATAATATACATATCAATTCTAATGTAATATCTCAGAATATTTTCACAAACCTTAACTTGTGCAAACACAGCTGGTTCCTTAGTACTTTTAATTGTTGCAGGACAAATTTGATATATAGGTTCTGGAAGATTTAGTACAATAGCTCTCTTTTTTAATTCTTCTCTTGGATCAAGGGGTTGTGGTTTTGGCACAATCTTTCTGGCACTACTTAATGGTGTCTACAAAAATAATAAATTAATGTACTACAGTTAACTTTCTTTAACAGTATATGAAGGGTTCATAATAACAATAAGTACAATTGTTTATTATCAATTTTTATTGCAATTATTTTGGTATTGTTATACTAAAAGTTATGTTAAACTTCTGTATATCCCCTCTTTTATTTATTTTACTGCTACCTAACCGAGCTACAATATCACAACTTTAACATAACTTCTCAATATAAAATCTTAATAAAAATGATATTATCGTTGGATGCGTTTTGAACTTCTCAACGATGCTGAAAGTAATAAATTATATGAAGTCATCCAAAAAAATCGCTATAACATCAACCTTTTTAATGAAAAATGTCTGTAGCGGTTTAGTTAGTGAAAGAAGAAAAGGGGTTATGCACGAGAATAAACGGAAAAGAAAATTGAAAAGAAAAGTGTTTCATCCTGGATTTCCTTGTGGACTCGTCAGTAAGGCTACCGAGGAGGCTTGTATCTTAGACACAGGGTCGATTAGGCTCAGATCTGAGATTGTATTTATATAAATAGAAGCCTAGGCGAGGACTTCTACGAAAAATTGATGTCTGGCAAGTTAGTGTCTTTGGTAATGGAGTGTAAGAGATACCGCCACATATCTTTTTAAAAGTCTTAATTGTCATAACATATCGACGATAAAAAATTAATTAATTCTATATATTAATTCCTACCAAATTATTATAACTAAACAAATAATCGCGGAACCGTTAAATTAAATACCCTGTTTCGGTATAAATACTTACAGATACATTTTTAGGTGATGATTGAAATTGTGTTATGTTACCATCTGCTAAAACTTGACCTGGTGAAAGGGGTGACAGTACCTCAGATTGATGAGGTGGCATTGGAATACTGGTTTGTAAACTCAGCAATGGAGGAATATTAGAATTTACTTTAAGTCTTTCACTTAAATTCGAAGTTTTTTTAGGAAGCGTTTCCACATTGTTATTAGCAGTCTTTGGTTTTTGACTTATCACAGGCACTGATGCCTTTGTGTTATTCTTTATTTGTAAGTCATCTCTAGGCTTATTAACACTTTGGCTTGTTGATAAGACAGAATTCATTTGTCTATCTTTCAGTCTCTAAGAATTAAAGAATTCTAAGAATTAGTTTTTTCAGTACTAAAATATGTATCTAATATAAAATGAATAACTTACTTTGCTTGGAGAGCTTGGTGGTACCCCATAATTAGATTGTATGTATCTGGGTTTGTCATTATATTGATGAATAGTCACTTTTGTTGACATTGCAGGAAACAATGCACTTTGTCTAAATAACAAATGTTCAATTAAATATCTTTAAAAACTTTCTGGACATTAATAAGATTTTGAAAAGATAAAACAAAAATGAATTCTTTATGAGACAAGATTATTTTCTACTAATTATATATATTTAGATTTACCTTCCACTTGTTTGTGAATAAAAATTATCATTACCACTTCTTACATTGCGAGCATTCTTCTTTGTCATCATAGGCTGACGGAATGGTGTTGGTTTTCTAGCATTAACCTGCATCAATATAATGTGGACATCAACTTAAATAAATACACAAAGAATAATGTAAATAAACAAAAAATTTACCAATTTGTTGCGTTTCTTAGATGCTGGCTTTTGTCGTGCAATTAATTTTGTAATATGTGCAGATTCTCCACTAGGTATAGCCTCTACAAGTGATTCACTTCCTCTTTCAGTAATTCTAATACTAGGAACAGTACGTAAAAATGCAACCAAAGACTGATATCCTAAGTTTTGAAATGGTATATTTTCATCAATGAGCATTTTATAATCTCCTACAAAAATGTAAATATTAATTTAAAATTACATTATAGAGACAAATACATTTAGCATAATGCATTATTTATAATTTGTTTAACACGAAAAAAAATTTATATGCAAATGGATTCATTTTGTAAAAATTTATTTAATTTATAAACATTACAATTATAATTGAGCAAAATATTTTAGAATTCTACAAATATATGTTGCACAATTAAAATCACAGCAGTATAAATTAGAATAAAGACAACACAAATGTGAACAACTTAT